AGGTAGGTGTGTGGTTGGGGTGGGTGACAGCTGGCGGCCCGAGGGACCCACCTGGCCGTCCGCGGCCTGACCTCTTTGGCTTGTCCGTCCTTCAGGTCCAGCGGTTTCTCCGTCGGGGGGCCAGGAGAGGTGGCCACTCCCTGCTGGAGTCTTCTGTAGTTCACCTGGGCATATATCACCCCCACGGACTCTTCATTGCTCGCGCTCTGCTGGAGAGACAGCAAGACAGAAACAGTTTGGTTTCACTGTGGGTTTCTCCAGGTGCCAGCAGGAGCCTTCAGTCATCTCAAAGAACCAGCACTTGTTTTCACTGATCTATTTAGACTCACTCAGAAAAACAAGATAAAGCAAAAAAAAAAATCAGAATACGAATATGTGAAAACATCAATTTGTCTCTTGTAGCTCCTATTGAAGTAACGTCGCATTATAAAGCGATGTTTCACCCAGCGTGAAGATTCACCGTGTGAACAGCTGCGTCGCTGGCGCCCGGCTGCTTTCGCCGAGCACGCCGCTTCCGCCAGGTCCACCCGGGTCGGGCAGGACTCCGGCTCGGGGAAATGCCCGGATGTTACTTACTGGCTTCTTTGTGCAGGCAGTGGGTGCACCCGTGACTCTGAAGTGGAGGGTTTGTATCCCAGGGGTGGATACCCAGAGGTGCGGGAACTACTGGTTTTAATTTTCGAGAGGTCCCCATGCTGCCAAAAATACTGATTTGAATAGTCCTGTGCCCTGTGTTCAGTGCGGCATGGCTTTCAAGGGTCAAGGCCTGCAAACAGCAGCCAGCTGCTGAAAGGAATCTGTCGTTTGCCAGGACACGGGGACAGTCACGGAAGAAAGGCGAGTGCCGGACATGTGACTTCTGAGTGCAAGATCAAGCCGCGTCAGTAAGGGAAACAAAGTCAGACGTCGGACTGTGACAGCAGGATGCTTAGAGGACAGTGCTGACGGCCGGTACTGGCAGGACGGAAACCTGACTGTGGGTGGCGAAGCTCACGCGCACCTGCAGACGCCAGAGTGCAGCTGCAGCCAGCGCGGCCTCCCACACGCTCAGTTGCTCCATGAGATGCGGTGACACCAACCCCCCTGCGCTGAGTCCCGGGGCTGCCAGCCCTGAGCGGAGGGTGCGTCTCCCGCGGGCCTGTGCGGGCCAGCGCGTCTCTGACGGGGCCCGCCGCCCACGCCCGTCCTGCCCTCCTGTCCCCGCGCCCGGCTCCCGCGCCTGGCCCTGCTCGGCACGGCCCCCCCTGCTGCGCCCAGGAGTGCTGAGAGGGGAGGGTGCCCGCGGCGACGCCGAAGCCGTCAGCCCGTCAGCCCGTCAGCCGGCGGAGGAGCGAGGCCCCTGGGCGTGTGTGCCGGGGTGTTGCCACATCTCCTTGAGCCACAACGTCCAAGACTGAGGTGGCGAGAAGGCGACCGAGGTCACAGAGAGCAGGAGGTGAAACCCCAGCGGGACTGGGGCCGAGGGGAGCGCGTGGACGCTGCTGAGAGCAGGTGACAAGGACAAAGATGTCCGCGGGGGCAGCGCGGGGCGGGGGCTCTGGTGCCCAGGCGGGACCAGGCGCTCACCTGAGGGTCCAGCTGAGCCCCCTCTGCAGACCGTGTGTGTATCTGGGCAGCGCCTGCGGGGCAGAGCAGGGCGTGTCTCCGGGGCTCCCTGAGCTCCCTCGGGGCAGCCCCCCCCCAGGGCCCTGAGAGGGCGGGAAGGGTCCGCGGA